TCTGGGAGGCACCTGCTATATGAGCATGCCAGTTTTTTCTGCCAGATGCAACTAGCCCTCCTCCCTACACCATCCTTTCCAACCAAACACTGGGTTTCAGACAGAGAATATTAAATATTTCTTACAAAATTAACTATTATGAAGGTTAGGAACCTTCATAAAATATTGTACCAGATGCATTTAGAAAGGTATTATTACTTTATGCATCCAATTCAGGGCATTTCAAATGACAGTTTCTGATCCTCTTTCTGTGGTGTTTTGTCCAACGTTTGAAGATAATTTCTAAATGCTGAGTATATATACCTTGCTGAATAACAGGTGACTCAAGCTCACAACACATTCCCCTCTCCTTGCTAAAGTGTTTATAATTTCACAAATATTCCTGCAATTTTCAAAGTGTGTCTGTGGACTCTTTCAGGGGTGCAGAAAGTCAAACAGTTTTCACAATAAGATGTAATTTACCTTTTCACTGTGTTGCTATTTACACTGATGGTGTAAAGGCAATGCTGACTAAAGTTGCTAGTGCTTAAGCACGAATCAAGCAAACTAGTAGTTATTGTATTCTTCACTGTCACGCACTCCCAGCAAAAGAAGAAGAAAAAAGAGACAGCTACACTAAAGAATGTTCTTGATGAAGCAATGAAAAATGATTAATTTTATTAAATCTTCACCCTGAGTTCATTTATTCTGTGTGACTAATTAGAAAGGATGTATCAAGCACTTCTCGACATACTGAAGCACAGCTTGAGGAAGAGGACTTGTTGGTCTGAGTTGTGAGCTGAACTAGTCGCTTTGTTCATGAAGTTCAATTTTTACTTGAAAACCAAGTGAGAAAACTATAGTATGAGTATCTGGCAGACATTTTCACATTAATAAACAAACTGAACCTCTCATTTCAAACATCACTCAGCATTCGGGAAATGCAAATCAAAACCACATTGAGATATCATATCACTCCAGTTAGGCTGGCTAATATCCAAAAGACTGAGAATAATAAATGCTGGAGAGGATGCAGAGAAAAGGGGATCCTTCTACACTGTTGGTGGGACTATAAAATGGTGCAGCCATTTTCCATAATGGGCTCCTCAAATAACTACAGATAGAACCGCTATATGACCCAGCAATCTCACTGCTGAGATAGAAAGGAATGGAAATCATTGTGTCAAAGGGATACCTGCACTCGCATATTCAGCTCTATTTACAATAGCCAAGAGTTGGAACCAACCTAAATGCCCATCATCGGATGAGTGGATAAGGAAAATGTGGTATATCTAAAGAATGGAATATTACTCTGCTGTAAAAAAGAATGAAATACTGCCATTCATAGCAACATGGATGAACTTAGAGAAAATTATGTTAAGTGAAATAAGCCAGGCACAGAAAGAGACTTACCACATGTTCTCACTTATATGTGGGAGCTAATAAAAATAAATAAACAAATAACTAGGAAAAAAAAAAAAGATACAACAATCACAATAATTCCTTGAACTTGTTAAGATAAGAGAAAAGATATGACATTGATGGGGGTGAGAAGGCGGGTAAGGGAAGAATTGGTAAAGGGCCGTGAAAATCAACTACACTGTATAATGATAAATAAAAATAAAATAAAATTTAAAAAAATCAACTGATAGTATTTGTGACAAAATTCAAATTTTCAAGTGAAAATTAGAATATTGGCAAACTTGGGCCGGCCCGGTGGTGCACTGGAGAGTGCGCCGCTTGGGAGCGCGGTGGCGCTCCCGCCGAGGGTTCGGATCCCATGTGGAGACCGGTTCCCGCTCACTGGCTAAGCGCGGTGCGGGCACAACACCGAGGGTTGTGATCCCGTTGCCAGTCCCCGGTACGGGCGCGACACCGAGGGTTGCGATCCCGTTACTGGTCAGTAAAAAAGAAAAAAAGGAAAAAAAAAAAAAAGAATATTGGCAAACTTGTATCTGCCAATGTGAGCTTGACAGCTTCCTAGTACCTAGTAGTTAAAGACTTTTCTGTTAGATCAGTGGTGATAGTAATAAATTTGATTTTTTTGATATTCTATAAGGAAATATGTCAACATTTGGAAGATTTATGTAACTGAGTGAATCAATGTTTTCTAAATGATGTTAGAAAATCATTCATCAGTAAAAGGTAAGACAATCCAATTGATGTTAATGTAAGAGAGTATAAAATGTTCATTGATATGGTTTCAGATGTCACATTGCAACTAATCTTCAAAGAAGTTTCACTTGTTTTAGTGTAGTATCAAAAAGAATGACAACAATTATCTGAAAATTCTTCTAAAATACTATTCCGTTTTCTAACTACATATGTAGGTAGCTGAATTATCTTCTTCATATAATTGAAACAATACTGCAACATATTTAATGCAGAAGCAGATACGAAAATCCAGTTCTCTTCTATTACACCAGAAATTAAAGAGATTTGCAAAAATGTAAAACAATGACACTTTTCTCATTAAATTCTTTGTATTGAAAAATATAGTTACTCTTCATAAAAATATGCTGTTTATGTTATCATGCAATGGGTTTTTGTTATTTCCTTAATGTATTAATAAATAAGTCTTTTTAAAATTTAATTTTTAATCCTGTAAATATAGATAGATATATCCCACAGGGGAAAAAAGCTCTTTGGAACCTTCAATAATTTTTAAGAGTATAAATAGTCGTGAGACCAAAGAGTTTGAGACCCTCTGTACTGGATGAACAGCCTGTGTTTGTAAAGTGCAGGTAAACACAAGATGAGGAAAGGGCTCTAGAGCAGGCAGGATTGAGTACAGACAGGTGTGACTGGGTTCAATCCCAGTGTTATCATATAGTCCATCTGCAACTTCAAGCAAATAACTTCTCTGAGCTTCAGTTTCCTCTTCTACAAAATGGGACCAACATATCAACTTCAGGATGATTACTACAAGGATCACACTGTACAGATTACGAGCCTGGGAATAATGTCATTAGCATATCTACATACTACACAAATACTCTCAAGAAATGGTCCCCAAAACTTGGGGCAGCAGTAAATTCTATTAAACCTATCCTGTTATCACAGATGGCCTTTAGATTTTCTTTGTTCTTTCTTTTTTCTGTAAAGTGGAAAATTAAAATCCAGATAATGCAAAGAGGTGTTAGGATTCTTCTCCTTCATGGAAAGTGATCAGTGAGGTTTTCATTTATTGCTGTAAAGGTGCACAGTGAAACTTTTTGAATATGCTTGTGATTCAACATTTCAAAGCATTCTATCCAAAGATCTAAGGTTGGGGGTAGGGGGGAGGGAAGACACTTAAAACAAGAGAGCCTTAATAAACCAGAAAAAATGGTAAGAACTAGAGACAGTAAGAAAGTTGAACTGTAGTTTACAAAACAGCTAATATAATTTCTATTTGTAAGAACACCTTCAAGTACAACTAGCTGCTTATAATTTAAACACACTCAGTAGCACTCGAGGTTATTACAACTATTTGCATTCTACTTTGCCATACCATGCAACTTATCTTTTTGTGCGTATATATTTCAGTTTGCAAACACATACATGCTTTGCACCACTATCACACACTGTGATATTACCTCAGACGTAAGCAGCTTACAATCTTCTCACTTTGCTGATCATCTTTTATGTCTAGTTTAAAAATAAAGCAAAACATGCATACCCAAGCATAATCCCAGCAGAACACAAATAAACAAAAGTTTACTTGGAGCAGTAATTCACTTGAATTCCATACCTGATTCAAATATGTTAATGTAATTTACAATTAAATTGCTATTTGCATTAATAATTCACAATACAACAGAAGTCCACTATTCTCAAAGATATTTTTAGTATACTTCTTACAAACAGTAGGCAGAAAGTCTAGTCAGGCCTTAGCACATAGGAAACATGGAAATTTGGCAGTGATGCTTCCCCACGTACCTGCCTGGGTATACCAGAAAAGAATTCAGGCTAGGTTAACTGGATAGCACAAGGAAATCTGTTATTACAGATGGGTCACTGGCAGCAGTTTTCCCATCAGAAAGTTTTGTAATCACTATCCAGGTCATTCTCAAACCCCATCATGTTAGGTTTTGTCTTTTCCAAATTAATACCATCTAGGAAGCTTTTTAAAGGATCAGATTGATGATAAAAGAAAAAAGGACTACCCTAGGGCATGTCCTACAAGAACAACTTGATATGGTAGAAGGCTGAGGGCATTCTGGAAAACAGAGGTGACTCCTTCAATTAAGCAGTCACAACTCAAAAAATGGACTTATTTTTAAATAATTTAAACAGCAGAATAAAGCTCTGAAAAAGAAGAGAGACTTAATCCATCAGAGTTAAGACTAAAGTGAGGCAAATAAGCTTCCTCCACTTAATACCCCCCACCTCACCACCACCTCATCAAGATGGGCAGTGTCCTCACTTTACTGATGAGGGTGTGAAAGCTCTGAGAGGCTAAGTCACTTGCCTATGCCTTGAAGTCAGGAGCCAGCGCAGTTTTGGAATCAAGGTCTCTTTGAATATATGCTCTTTCTCCTCTACCATTCTAGAGCTCAGAATAATCAAATTTGTCTAGAATTACATTCCAAGAAAATTTCAGATGAATTGCACTTGAGGAAAAATATAAGGACTAGTAGTTTATGGGATTTTGCAGTATGGATTTCTAACTAGTAAACTCAATGAAGTTTTTATTTATATTTATCTTATTATTCCTAGGGATCTTGTGATAATAAGAAATGATGATCACGTTATAGCTCAATTTGCTATACTGATATAGCAGATGGTATCCTTAGTTACTCACTTATATTATTAACTCGTTTAATGCCCAAAACAATCCTAAGGAGTAAGTGCTATTATTATCCATCCCATTTTATGGAAGGGGAACTGAGAAATAGATAAGTAATCGCGGAAGGGGACACAGCTTATAAGAGGCAGAGAGGCCTCAAACTTAAGCAGTCTGGCCCTAAGCCTATTAATATCAGCAACTGCTCATTATAACTAACTTTTCCAGTCAACATCTAATAGAAAATTCTTACCTCTGGTTTGCTAAGGCTGGATGAAACCAAGGAACCGGATCCGACGTCCAAATCCCACTGCTTTTTACCATGATTCTCAGGATCCAAGGCAGCAATTCGGCCATCTAAAGTGCTGATAATTACTAATGATCTGCAAATGTAAAAATGAATAGGACAAAATTGGAAAGGTATCTAAGATATTAGGCACTTATTGAAAGAAAACCAGCCCCTGACCAGGTCTCCATAAGTAGGAAAGAAGAGGCGACTGACCTGCCTCCAACACTTAGTCTTGCCACCGTCTTTAGACTAGGACAAACTCAACATGCCCTTTTTCTGTTTATGTCACTTATGAAAAGTCCCGGCCTACTAGGTCACCCCTTGTTCTACACACTAATCCCCATATGGACTCAACATCCTCTGCTCTGTCCTCTTCTCCTACCTTTCCCCACCTCCTGAAAGCCTTTCCTCTGAAACAGTCTTCCCTAAAAGTAGACTTATCTTCTTGCTCTCACAGAAACCAGGCTTTCCCTGAGGACACTGCTTCCCTACAGAAGCAAAGAGACGTTTCTTCTCCCATAACCCTTACCCAGTGATGGGACAGGTGTACGTACTCATTGTATCTCGTTGCTATTTCCAGACCATTTTCTCCCTCTCCTCTCTGAAAATCCTCAGGATCAGATTGTTCCATCTCTTACCCCTCCTAGTAGTTGTCTACTCACCTCTAGCTCACTAGCCCCATCCCTGGAGGATTTTAGTTGCCGGTTTACTATTGCTACCTAACTACTGCTGCAATCTTTGAGTTTCCATTACCTGTCTACTTTGCCTCCATCACTCCTGTAGTCAGATTCTAGACCTTGTTGTTACCATGCAACCCCCCGCACATGAAAATTTCAAGCATCCAACCCCCAGCCACCCACCCCTCTCCTCCCACCTCACTTCCTCTACTTCCCTGACTCCAACAAACCTCTGGCCCCACTAGAACCTATAAGAACCTATAAGCCATTGATCCTATGACCTTCACTACTATTGTGTCCTCACTTCCTTCTTATTCAGTTTAAATTCCACAGTCTTTCATCTTAAGCATTACCTTGCTTACATCCTCAACTCCCTGTCCTCTGTCTTACATGTCACACTCGACTGACAAAATGCCAACCCTGGTTAAATCCAATTTTCTCCCCTTTCTCATCCTGCATCTGTGCAGCGGAATGTAGCTGAAGAAAAACATAACAATGCTGACTGGTTTTACTTTAATTCCTGGCTATTAATGATGCTTAACAATCATAACACACCTCCTCAGTGTATCTAATGCACTTCACTATCCCACTGAACTAGGTTAATTATGTCATTTCTCCTTTCTCATCAAACTTCTGATACCAGCTCTTACAAGCTCACACATCTCAGTGACTGTACTTCCTATTTCACTGAGGAAAACAGAAGTAATGGAAAGAGTTTGCTTCCCATCACCACCTTATCCATTCATCAGCACCCGGACCCATGAATTCTACCTTCTCTCATGTTAGTGCAGGAGAACTGTTCATGCTTAAGCAATAGAGCTCTCTCTCACGCAGAGGTGAGGACCTGCTCCTCCAAATGTCTTCTCTCACTCTCACATCAAGTATTCCCTCTCTACTGGAGCATTTCCATCAGAATTTGCTATAGACTGAAAGTTTGTGTCCCCCCAAATTCATATGTTGAAACCTAATTCTCAGTGTGATGGTATTTAGGAGGTGGGGCTTCTGGCAGGCAATTAGGTCATGAAGGTGGAGGCCTCGTGAATGATATCAGTGCCCTATAGAAGTGATTCCAGAGACTCCCTCACCCATTCCACCATGTGAGGACACAGGCGGTGCTGTCTGTGACAAATGGGACCTTGCCAGACACTGAATCTGCCAGGACCTTGATCTTGGATTTCCTAGCTTCCAGAACAATGAGAAATAAATTTCTGTTGTTTACAAGCCACCCACTTTACAATATTTTGTTATAGCAGCCTGACTAGACTAAGACAGCATTCAAACCTGCTATTATTTCCCCTAAATAAAACCACATCAGATCAAACAAAATGAACCACTCTCCCCTCCAGCTTCCCCTCTATATCTTGCCCCTCTTCAACAAAGCTCCTTGACATAGTTGTGAATACTCTCTCTCTCCAAATCCTGTCCTACCCTTCTGTCTTGAACTATTTCTAATTAAGTTTTTGCCCCTTTGACCTCACTGAAATGGTTCTTGTTGGATCAATGACTTTCATTCATGTTGATAAATCCCAAGGTCAGGTCTCAGTTCTCTTGACCATCCAGCAGAACCTGACCAGCTACTTTTCCTGCCCTCTATGAAATACTCTATGTGGCTTCCAGAACAACAAGCTCTCCTGATTTTTTTTTGATGCAATTCTATGCTATTTTTTTCTCAGTTTTATTTTCTAGTTCCCCCTCACCTTTCCTATCTCTTAAAATAGTCTCTACCTACATGTGGTTTTTTTGGTGATCTCATGCAGTCTCAGTTTTAAATACCATCTATATGCTGGCAACTCCCAAATCTTCATCTCTAGTTCCAGGCATCTCCCCTGAACTCTGACAATTAAATAACTGCCTACCAGATTTAGATTGTCTAACAAGTTTTTCAAAGTTCACATATCCAAAATCAATACCCCTAGACAGACTCTCCCAATTCTTCAAACATATCATGTATGATTTTCCCTCAAGTCCTTTGCAGCTACTATTCCTTCTGCCTGGAACCCCCAGGCATACTGAACACATCTGTCCGTAACTGCTCTTGAACGTCTATTTTCCACTCATTGCTTTACAAAGGCATTTGTTTGGATGATTCCACAGCAGGGACAATGTTCTCTCACTCATTCTCCAATTTTTCAAAGTTACTCTCAAGAAACTTTTTCAATGACTGCCAGATCCATTCCCCTAATCAGGTCTGTCTCCACAGAAGCCACTGAAACAGTGGCCAGCTCCTCACTCTGGACTTTCTTTTCCCCGGTTTCTACAGGACCTGTCCCTCCAAGTTCCTCACCTGTCATTCTTATAGCTCTCAATCTCTACTGACAGGCATCTTTCCTTGTTTTTACTACATGTTCTTTCTAGATGGCCAACGTCCATGGTTTCATCTGTGAAACCGTGAACTAATACTATTTCTTATGAAATAAGAGAACCCCTAAACTTACACAGTACTTACAGCTCACCATCCCTCTCCCTGCTCTAGTTCTGCATCTTCAGCAGGATCTACTTTTTATCACCACAACACATTCAAAAAATTTAACTTCTCTCCCCCAACTTATTCCTCCTATTTCTTTCTCCCTTTACAGCATAACCCTATACCCTGTCCCCTAACACTCAAATCAGACATCAGTTCTCCTGCTCCCTTACCCTTTACATTTAGACAACAGTCATGCACTCTTTATTCTATATCTGAAGTTTCTCTTAAAACTTTTCCTTCTTCATTACCACTTAAAAGGCTTTCTGACATATTTTCCTGCCCCAGGACTCTTTCTCCTCTTCCAACAGTTTTGTTTCTATAATAATCTGTTAAACTTCTGAAGCTCCCCTGTGCCCACTGAAGAAAAGCCACACTGCTTGGTATGGAACATTAAGCCTTTCACAATCTAGCTTCAGTGTGCTCTTCTAATCCCATTTTCTGCCAACCCGATCCCCTCTCCCCCCACCTCCCCAGCCCCACAGTAACACACACACACACACACACACACACACACACACACACACACACACACACACACACACACACACACCTCAGAAGTTTCTAATCTTTTCAAGGTTCTCTTGTTTATTTATATTTTACCCCATGTCTAAAATTATCTCGTTTGCCAAAGTAACATTGCTTATAATCAATTCCTACATCTTTAGAGGAAATACTTAAGAACCAATCAAAATGTTAAAGATTTCTGGAAAGAAATAACTATAATTACTATATAGGCTTTGATATAATTCTAGTTCAAAGCACGGAAACTTGACTTTTTAATTAACCTTCTCTTTTTTTTTTTTACAGGTCCAATTTCCATTATGTTACTTTAAAATACCGATAGTCTCATGGATGCCCATTTTTATCTTTGCAGATTGGCAGGGGTACAGAGGCCCTAGCTTAGGAACCACTGCTCTGTGCTCATCGTACAAACTCTCCCCTCTGTGCTCTGCTCACACAATTCCACTGCCTACACCATCCTTGACACTTTTCACATTCTCTTCACTTTCATATCACTTTTATGTCACTCATAATCCATTCTAGTCTGTTAATTCTTTAACACAATTATCTCCTTGTCAGACTTGGAGCTTCTCAAGAAAAAGACATTTATCTATTCTCAGGACCTAACAGCCCCTAATAAAATGCAATAAATGTTTGTTAATGAACAAATCTGGTAGGACAGACATATTATTCACATAAAACAAAGAGGCTGAGAAAGATGTGAAAAGATGTGACTTGCCTAAGGTCATGCACAAAGTAAGTTTTAAACAGGAGTGGAGTTTCAGGTTTTCTAATTCATTCTATTATTCTGTTAACTATAAGTTTGCCTAAGTGGCAACTACTATATTACTAGAATGTGCAGCTTTTTATTCCTCACAGAAATCTCATTAAGATGTCATTTATCCTGTAATTGCTCTGATGATGCCCTCAATTCAGTAGAAATGACCCTATGCCACAATGGATACACAATCAAAAAAACCTGTTTGCTTTGAGTTAAGTCACCCAGAACATCTGCCTGTTTACACTAGCATTTATCAAATAGTGATAAGTATATGCTAAATTCCTTCATAAAGTAATTTTAAAGCTGCCTTATCTCCTGTAGAAATTTCCCATGTGAAAGAAGAAAGCAGGTGACAAGAGAGCATTGTATGGATAGAGTAGTTTCTATATTAACAACTTATTTTAAAATTTCACATTTCCTTTATTGGGCAGAAAAAACTTCACAAATCTAAAAATGTGATTTGGTTGAATCTGTTTTATTGGTGTAGCCAAGAATCTTCTACCCAAACATTTGCTCTCACTAAAAGAAGCATATCGATTAAAAACACAGTATTACTGTAATTGGACTTTACTTCCTAGCCATTACCCATTAAGTAAATCTTCAAATCAATCCTCCTTTATTTAAGCACATCACAAGACTAGCCATGCCCCAAATCAAAACAAATATAA